TCTCTCTCTCTCTCTCTCTCTCTCTCTCTCTCTCTCTCTCTCTCTCTCTCTCTCTCTCTCTCTCTCTCTCTCTCTCTCTCTCTCTCCACAGCATCTCGATGCGGGCAGTCCGCCGCCTCGCACCCACACAGAGTTGTCACCCCGCTTAGTCCGAGTATGCAAGCCAGGTTTGCTTGTGCGCCACCGTCCGTCGCAGCCCCACGTCAACCCCGCATACCCAGCACCAGCCCGTCGGATCGCCCAACTCTCTACTCACCTTCCAACTCTTGCTCGTTAGCCGATCCTCTCGACCGTGCTAACTCCAAAAATTCATCGAGAGTGAGTTAATCGCGTTTGCGAAATTTATAGCATGCATGCTTGCGCGAGATACCCGGGATTGTGCCCGAGTGGGAAAGAAGGAGGAGGAAGGAAGTGCCTATGACTGCATGGCCAAGCCGCGGTGTGGGGGACGTAGCCACACTCCACACATCGATCCGGTCATGCAATCGTTCAGGCCAATGGGATTGGGGAAGTATGCGCTCGCAGGGGCGCCAAAAAAGATATCAATAACGAGAGGATTATAGTTACAATCACGCCCGCCAAAACAAGAATTACAGTTACACGTAAGATTAAGGCGGGGAAAAGTCAGAGCACAGATCTTGACGCGGCAAAGTGTGCGCAAGCAAGAAGCGTCGTGCAACAAAATTGCGGTGTACCTAAATTCCTTGCCTAAATCCTAATTACAAAAAGAAATTTCGAGAGAAGACAATTCCGAGAGCCTGTGGGGGCTCGACATCAGTAGAGAATTCAGAAAAGATTTTCCCCCGCGACGATCGTGCCAAAATTCCCACTTCTCACAACAGAACAAGAAAGAAGCTATGGCGACAGTTATCCTTCGCGCTCGTTGAGGCGCGATCAACCACCAACCGTCGTGGGACCATACCCGCCTCAATTCCAAAACAAAAAAAGCAACGGCACCCATGCAATCCAACGGGCCCTCCCAATTCAACCCCCGAAGTAGCCTTGCACAGGAAATTGTGCGGTTGCAGAAAACAGTTCGTCACATATGTGACGCCCAGGGGGTTCCAGTCTTGAGCAAGCTCCTGCTTGCTCTCTCATCATCCATCGATCTCGCAAGAAACACCGACGATTGACGTGGAGCTGACACGTGCCACTTACCGTGAGATTGGAGTGTGGAAGTCATCCAGGTCGCATTCGCGAGCTCCGAACCTAGAGGTTACTGGGGAAGGGTAATCTAATGACGGGCGGGGAAGGAGGAGGGTGAGCTTATGGGAGAGGTGGCAGAAAGCGACGCCGCTCTCGATCCCTCGTGGGGAGTCGAATGTAGTGGACGGTGCGGTTGATGCGGGGGAAACGATGGTCTTGATGGGGGAGCGAGGCGAGGTAATCGGGATAGAGGGTGCAAAGGGTGCGGGGGATCGTGGCGCGAAAACTCTCATTATCTTCACACGCGGGGATAGTGCCCGCGATTATGCAATAAGACGTCTACGTTGTTGTATTCATGCCACGCCATGCTGAAGAGAAGGACGTGGAGGGGAAAGGAAGTTACGAGGGAGCGAGTGGTGGCGTGCGGGAAGACGGTGGCGATAAGACGGGTGGAATAAAGTTGATGGAAGATTGAAGGCGGGAAGGGGTGCCAGTTGGAAGGAAACGGGGGACGGCCTGCGAGCTGATGGACGGTGAGGAGATCAAGGGGACGACGAGATAAAAACCGGGGACGAAGCCCGAGCGCCCGCATCTCCACGTATGTGAATGGTGGGCCGTGGTGGAGAGGATTGAGTCGGTGAAGAACTTCTACGACGTTTGCTTCTTGATCCCTCCGCGGTGGTGACGCCATGTCCCCCAGGTTCCTCCTGCGGCGGCTCTAGATTGCGAGCCAAATCGCCTTGTAACAGCTGCGCTGCTGGTCCATCCGATTCCTCTACTGACCGCTTTCCTTCTGCCCTCTCTCGCCTCTTCTCTGCTGCGGCTTCGTTCTCTTCCTTGCTCTGCTCGCTAGGGCTACCTGATTCGTCCGACCCACTTCCTCCCGACTCAGCTTCCTCCGAGGCGTTATAGTCGGGGTCGTGAGATTCGGCCTCTAAGCTCTCCTCTTCTTCCTCTTCTTCTTCTTCTTCTTTTTTGCTCGCCTCCCCTCTCTCTTCTCCTCTTCGAATGATTGGATCCCACAAGGTGAGATCAGTCACGTCGATGACCAGGTAGTGGCCCGAGGAGGGGTAGTAGCAATTGTCCCCGTCAATCTCCGTGCATGTCGACCACAGCAGATGCGGCGCCAAGGTACGGGTGAGCGTGGCCGGTGTGGGCCGCTTGTCGCAGCGCGAAAGGACGTCCAGAGGCAGGTCGTCCAAGAGTTGGGCCAGGAATACCAGGACTTCACTCGTGATCGGCTCGAGATGGTCGACCCTCACCTTCCCGAACAGGATCCCCAACAGCTCCCCCTCCGTATTTGTTCTCCATGCTTGGACTTTCAGCAGCTCCACCTCGTCGTCGGGGACTTTGCCTTCTTCGTCCTTGTTGGCCAGCTCGGCCCAATGGAACACCACCTCGAGAAGACAGAAGCTGAGGGCGATGTACGCGCTCCACCACTCCCTCCTCTTGCCGGCTTCAAGGATCGGCATGTCCAACTGCCTGACCCGAAAAGACAGAGGGGCGTCAGTAGCAGACTTCCAGAAGGTGGGAAGGTCGGAGGGAAGCCCAAAAGTCGAGAGGCGATGCCGATTCATTGGGGCGGCGCAAAGGGAAGGAGCTCCGGGATGAAGACCTCCGGCGCAGCAGGAAAGAGTCGGAGCTGGCTGAGATCGACGTCGTTAGTGGGGGCGATCCGATCGCCCGACTGAGCTAACAGTTGGACCCACGCGGCCGTGAGATCCCGCGCCCAGAGTCATAACTGTCCGAGGACGCCTGCGTGAGATGCTTCATGCAACGTTGTAAGATCGCCAGTGAAGGCGACGATTACTTACACGTTGTGACGCCTGGTGGAGACAGCCGTAGAAAAGTCGACACCTCGGCCAACACCCGCGCTCTATCGCTGACTCGTGCGAACCGAGACTACGTTGCCCCGTGGACGGCCGCCGTGCTGACGAAAGCCGCGAATCGAAGCAGATTGGGACTCAATCGTGGTCGCTGCACCTGCCGGATGGACGAGATATGTCCCCCAGGTCTCATTAGTCGCTCACTAATGACCTGCTCTGTGGAAAAGCTCATGGCGATGGGGGAGAAGGTGGTGACGAAGGTGGGGAAGAAGGAGAAGCAGTATACTCGAAATCGTCGTCTTCTTCCTCCGAAGCGGGGGACGAGCAAGCCGCACCGTGTTCACTTCGCTAGGACTGAGTTCGACTACGCAGAATCGCCCGAAGAATCGTGGCGCTAACTTGCCCTGGCGAGCACATTTCCTTACTTGCACCATGTCCCCTAATTTATACTAGGGCCGAGGTCCAGCGTTTCGGTTCCGAGCCTCATAGCTCCTGACCTGGCGTCCGTGGGCCATTTCGGTCGTCCGCTATCTTTTTCGGGCTAACTGAGGGAGGGCCTTTTCCATCAGTTCCAAGTGGCGTTGGGCCTTGTCCTTGACCGTCGCCCTCGTGGCTCGTCGCCCAAGGATCATCTCGTCGTTCAGGCTCGGCAAAGCTACACAAGCCAAGCTATTGGTCCGTAACTGGAAAGGGGTCAGTATCCTGATGCATTCCGAGGAAACGATTGACATATCGCACTATTTTCGTTGTCTGTCGCGTCTTACAGGGATACGCATCTATCCATTTGGAGAAGTGATCTACAAAAACAAGGAGGACTGAATATTCACAGCTATTCGGGCCAAGGGGAACAACAATATTTATCGTGTCCATGGAAGAAAGGTGGAGAAGGTATGTCCACAAACCGAATAAACTTGCGATATTGCTTCGCAAAAATAACAAAATTTGTCAGGCAAGGAGAGAAAAGAAGAAGATGAGAGGGGAGAAAGGGGGGCCCCTAGAATTACCTTCTCCACCTGTTGCCATCGTGTCCATGTGTCACTTTCTAGAGGTTCGGGGGAGAATGGCCACCTCTCCGTACGACGGTCCTTTGGTCGGTTCCAGCTCCTTCCACGAGGTGATCTCTTCCCCTTTGGCCACGTTGCTTGGCCGATGCAGTCGTGTCAGTCCGTCGGCATTCCCGTGCTTCTCTGTCTTTCGATGGACGATGTCGAAGTCATATTCCTGTAGATCGTCCATTCATTGCCCGTATAGTTAATGAGCCTCTTGAGAGCCAACAGGGAAACTTCTGCCCGTACAGATATGGATGGAAGTGTTGAATTCCCCATACGACCTCGTAGCACTCACCCTGAGGGGCCAAGTCGTTCCGTCGCTCGTCGGGTACGGTTCGCGAGGCGTACTCGATGACGTGTTCGCGGCCGCCCTTCCCTTTCTGGGCCAAAATAGTGGAGATCGCCTTGGACTGCCAGTCTGTGATGAATATGAATTGTTTCTCAGGGTTGGACCGAATCAAAATAGGCGCGGAGGCCGGGGCCTCCTTCAAGGTGACAAAGGCTTGTTCGCACTCCGCGTCCCACTTTCAGTGCCCACTTCAGTGGCTGGTCCTTCCGTAGGAGGTTTCTCAGAGGCCGAACGATTGTCACAAACCCCTTGATAAATCGCCTGTAATACGAGGCTAGTCCCAGAAAGGCTCGAACCTGCGTCAGTGACGTAGGCGTGGGTGCGTTTCGAACCGCCTCGACCTTTCTTGAATCTGGTCTCAAACCCCCTCGAGTCACTACATACCCCAGGAACGAGATCTTGGAGAGGAAGAACTCGCTTTTCTCTAGTGCGATCTTGAATCCGGCATCCCGTAATGCCCCCAATGTCCATTCGATATGCTGCACATGCCTATGAAATGATTCAGAATATACCAGAATGTCGTCCATGTACACAATGACGCAAAAATTGATCATCCCCTGGGTCAGCCTGGTCTTGTTGATGGAATTTTGGAATGTGACGTTCATGCTCTCTGGAAAGTTGCAGGTGCATTGCATATCCCCATAGGGCAACGAATCCACTGCCAGGTGCCTTCGAACAGTACGAACACCGTTTTTGGCCGGTCCTCCTCTTTGACCAGGATATGATGAAACCCGTGGCGAATATCAAACTTACTGAAATAATTAGCACACCCGATCGCATCCAACAAATCATCAATCCAGGAAAGGGGGTACACATCTTTGATCGTAATGTCATTCAATTTCCTATAATCGATGCATATGCGAATCGACCCGTTTTTCTTCGGAACTAAAACTACGGGGAATGACCATGGTCCGATAGCCGGCTCGATCCAACCGTTAGCTTCAAATTCTCTGATTCGTTCCAATGTCGTTCTTCGTTCTGCGAGAGAGTACCGGTACGGTTTGCAATGAATAGGCGGATGTGTTCCAGTTTGAATTTCATGTTGGATTACTACGGGCAGCCTGATGTCTATGTCTTTGACGCTAATCGCTCCCTGATACTCAGTCAGAATGTTGGCAATGAGGTGATGAATTTCATCAGGCACGTATCGAGGCACATGTAGTTCGTAGAGCTGTTCATGGATGTTAATCGTTACTTGTTTTGTGCCCACTTTTCTACCGTTCCCTGGTGGAGGAGACAAAATGAATGAGTTGTCCAATCGCCAGGAGAACACCGTGGCAACCATTTGGGCGTCTTCCTCCTGGATTGCCACGTGTTCGTCCGGCGTTATGCCATCGTCGATGTCCCGCGAGCTTACGGGTTTCTCGGCAATCTTGATCCCGAGTTCGTAAGGCGAAGGGTCGCCTCGCCCAGGGGGTTCCAAAGCTTCGCTCTCAGCCCCCTATCGCAGCAGTTGAACCTCTTTCCCTGCAGAGAGCAAGGAACGAGGTAATTCCGTAATATCGCAGAATGCTTTCTTGTCACTGTACCTTGAGAGAAGCGGGGTGGTGGCCTCGTATAAGGTCCGAGGGGGTTCCGAAGAATCGGCCATTCGAGATCCCTGCACTAGTGGTTCCCCTAGGATTAGAGCCCGCGTCCATTAGAGGTTTCTTTCTGTAAGGACGGATGTTTTCGTTGCTTTTTGTCGGACCGGTTCCAGGTGATCACATGAAGCGGTTCCCCAATCTCGGGGGGAGTTTTCCGAGTCGTATGTAGCGTAGTTCGGAGTGTTAAACGCATCGGGATAACATACGGTTTTCCACCCATGTTCCGAAGGATGATTGATCGCCTTTCAAAATCCAGGCTGGCTCGTAGCACGGTGAGGGTTGGTAATCCCAAGAAGACGCCGTATGTGTTTACGAGCAATACTACGACATCCCCCAAGGCGTGAACCTTTCCTAATCGAAACGCGACATTTGTCATCCTTCCCACCACCTTGATATTTTCTTCGTCGGTGGAGACAAGTGATCTCCTTTTGCTAGCGGGATCAGATCTTTTCTTCTCCCTGCCCGTTCCACGACCCTCAGAGAGATGGGTAGGACCGTGGCCCCTGAGTCGACAATAGCATTGTACGGAATTCCCCAGACTTCTATATCATATTCCGCGGATTTCCACGGAATGGCCTTAATGCGCAGAAAATGGTCGTCTTTTTGGATTAGTCCTAACCATATCGGATCCGAGGTGTTGGGGCCATCGGGCCTGTCTTCTTGGATGGGGGCCTTCCCTTTGATGGCTGCTTGCTTAGCAAGAGCCAACCGTTTCCGGTTCGTCTTGCAATGCTGCAGCATTCGTTCATTCGCCTATTCCGATATGGATAGCAGGTGTCCAATGGGCAAGGGAATTCGATGGTCCAGGGCTCGGACGATGTTCAGGACATCAATTTCTCCCGTAACAAAGGCAGGACCACCCAACTCCATTTTTTCGGGAGACGGTCTCCACTCCGTTATTTCACGTTGTTCGTTCGCGGGGCGGATAGTTCCGATCATTCCCAATCCCGGGTAACCCAGTGAGATGTATTGATCGAGCGAGATAAGTTTCGCAGCTTCCTCGGTAGTGATTATCGCATTCCCCCCTCCCTCTACTTCTTCCACCATCATGGCCACCCTCCCTGGTCCGTTGGCCACAGGTGCCACTGCCACAGGGGCTGCTCCCACCCGGACTTGTGTTGGGCGGTTGGGGCAGTCTCGGGCTATGTGGCCAAGCTGGTGACATGTGTAACAGACGCCTAGATTAGCTGCCGCACCGCCCGCAGCTTGGACAGGGGTTGCTCCCTGTGCCATGGGTGCAGCTCGAACGGCAATGGGGCGCATCGACCTCATCAAGGGTTCTATCCGGGCATTATGCTCACGTTGTTCTTTTTTGCTTTCTCGCATCAGGCTAACTAGCGTTCGAGTTGATTCCAGTATTGCGTTTGATTCGCTTGGCTTCGCAGAGGTGTCCGGGGGAGGCGTAGGTGTAACCATCACAGGCAGTCCTGTGGTTGTGTCTGGTATCGACCTCTTAACTCCAACTTGTTCTAGATAGGTGAGGGGGCCGGAGACGAAGCCCGTGTTCTCAAATTTGTTTTGTAGTGGCCTTCGCTCTAGCCAATTGTGAGGAATCCCCTTCCTTAGCGTGGTCTTCTCCTTCTAGGAAGCTAGTGGCAAACTTTCGCTCCATCTCTGTAGCAGCGTCCATGATCTGCTGCATGGTGTGATTGATGGGGGAGAACTGCTTTCGCAATTTCGCCCTCATTGCACGGTGCGAAGCCCATCGATAAACATATCCCTTCCGACCTCCTCGCCTCGCTCTGACTTAACGAACAACCTATAAAACCTACTACGATATTCAGTGACGGATTCGAGGGGCTTCTGAACTCGATCTTTAATCATAAAGAAGGCCTGTTCAGGATGGATATAATCGAGTCGGTGTAGAAAGTCCCTCTCGAAGGTCAGGAGATCTACCCACGCGTAAGTGTTGAACCAATGGTGCGCATCCCCTCCCAACCTGGCGAGGATGTTGATCCTAGCTTCGTCATTGTCGTATTGTTGCGCACACAATGTGGCTAGCCATGCTCTGGCCAGATGATGTGCGGGATCGAGAAGGTACAGATCGGGCGGGGCCGCAGGTGCGCGAACCCGAGGGACCCGAGCCCCGCCAGCATTTGGCGCCGGATGGGCGTTCATGTTGTTCGCCTGCCGACCTGCCAACCTGCCGACCTGCCGATCTCCTCCTAGCTACTATAGGGTCGCGTTGCGACACGGTCCTCTGCCTAGGCCGTCCTCTGTTCGCCAGATCGTTCTATGCAACTTACTTTCTTGGCAGTTCCTAAGCTTGCCACGTGTCGGCTCCGATACCAACCTCACGCCCGACGCGAC